AATGTGAGCACTATAACATATGCAGGGGCTATGTGTACCAGCATCCCTGTTCCTCCGGAGAAGTAAACTGCTGTGGTGGTATTGTGTCCCCCAATTTTGTGCACCCTAATGAACTTATCTGGGGTCAGAGAACAAAACAGCCACTAGATAGACATAGGACAGAAAATGGTAGCACACATACCTTAATCTTATCACTTGGAAGGCAGAGATCCATGTGGATCTTTGTGAGTTCAAGGCCACATTGGAAAGAGACAGGCATGGTGACACACACTTTTAATTCCAGGAAGTGATGCCAGGAAGCAGAAAGGCATATAAGGTGTGAGACTGGAACTAGAGGCTTTTAAGCTTTTAGACTTTTAGAAGCAGTTCAACTGAGATCAATTCAGATAAAGACTCAGAGGCTTCTAGTTTGAGGAAACAGGATAGGCTGAGAAGCTGGCGAGGTGAGGTTAGCTGTGGCTTGTTCTGTCTCTCTGATCATTCAGAATTTACCCCAATAGCTTGCACTGAGATTTTTTTTTTAATTTAATAAGACCATTTAGCAGATTCGTGTTACAAGCTGCCCTAAGCAGTTAACCGACTCTCTAAGAGAGATGGATGGTTTGTCAGAACAGGCAGAGGTTTTTCAGTCTCTAGTCAAAGACAAAGCTTCCCAAGTGTTCTGGGTATTCAGTCTTTGCTTCTCAAGTGCTCAGTCTTCTCCATCCTCGGAGCACCCCGCCCCCCAACTTCCCCATCAGCCAGTGGTCCAGACTACTAAGACTGTTGATTAAGGAAAAAAAAATTCAAGCTCAAATAACCTGAGGCTCAAGATCTTGAAGCTGCTGGAGAATCTGTCCCTCAATAATTATTTTCCTTCTAGTTTTTCTCCTAACTCATTGTTTTTACGTTTTCATTTGTGATTGGGAAGATGTCATCAAGAAAATAATTTCCATTTTAAAAGCAGTCACCAATGACTAGTTCAGGTTAAATAGCTTCTGGACAAGAAATTTCCATAAATTACTTCATTTCATTAAGTCTAGTTTTTCCAATTAAAGTTGCAAGTAGCTAACAACCCTCATTTGTAACAGTATTAGCAAATTTGATTCATTTAAACGTCATTTTATTGAAAAATTATAATATTGTATTGATGACAATTTAAAAATTGTATCTCTCACCTGAGTCCTTCTGAGTAGTGCAGAAGGAGGGGATGTTACCATGTGCTGGGATGTTCCTGACAGACGGATACAGTTTTGATATAGTTCAAGTCTGTTTAAGAGAGTTTCATAAACTTCCTGGTAATAAATTAACTTGGGTGAAGTCCTTGTTCTCATTCCTCTTATTTGAGTTTGGATTTATGCTTTACAAAGTCCATTTATTGCCTGCTTGTAAACAGACTAGAAAGGGTCATCTCAAAGCCAGAGTGTCTGCTGTCAAGTTGAGAGACATTTATTGAAGCTCAGTAGAGGAGACCACACAAAGGCAGACGCATGCATCTCATAGGAATGGGCTCATTCATGCTCAACAGCCATCTCTAAGAAGGGTGATTAGTGACATTTGTAAACATGGCATATATATTCTCATTGTAAATAAGTCAAGAAACCAAGGTGATATAAATAAAGGCAGCTACACAGGGCTGCCAATCATTGGCTCCAAGAACCCACTAAGATCCTGCATCAGGATGCCACTGGTTAGCCCACATCATTATATCATCATCATTTAATCTGCTTAATTTCTAGTCCACTAGAATTGAGAGTTTTTATTCAAAGAGATTAGATACATTTCTGTACACTAGCAATGAACAGAAAACAAGACAATTGAAACTATGTCCATGAAGAAAAAACATCTAGCAATAACTTCAATAAATGAGGTGCAAACTTTGCACTCAGAAAAATGTTAATGTTGAAAAAGCTAAAGGTGACCTAAATAAATGCTCCATTCTCCTCCATTTTCTTGGATTGGTGAAGTGTTGGTGTTCCCCAGGGTGGTTTATTGGACAGTCAGTTAAAAATCAGTGGGTTTTTTTTCCCAGAAATTAAAGAAAGTTATCTTAAAATTCAAATGAAAATATAAGAAATAACCTAAATAATCCTGAGAGAATACAGTTGGAAAATTCACATTGTTCTGATTTGCATACTAACAAGAAAGCCACACTACTAAAGACAGAGTATTGGATACTTTTCTCATTGCTGAAACAGAACACTTGACAGAGGCACATTTAATAAGGACGGGCTTGTTCTGGGTCATAATTTGAGGGGACACAGTCCATCAAAACAGGAAGCCAAGCAGGGGAGGCATGGTGGTGGGAGTGTAAGGCAGCTGGCCAGTGCATTCACCCTCAAGAAACACAGAGAGATGAAGGCTGGGGCCCAGCCAGTGTCCTCTATTTAGTCTAGGACCCCAGGACATGGGATGGGGCCACCCACATTTAGGGAAGGTATACCTTCCACAGTTAAACCTGCCTAGAAACATCCTTAAACAAAGGTGTGTCTCCTGGAGGATTCCAAACCCTGCCAAGTTGACTATGAAGTTGATATCACAATCCACTACTGCTACTGAACCCCTTAGCCACAAGGCATTGAAATGGGCCTAAAACCTACCTTCACTAAGGTGTACGTAGGTACACACACACATACACACACACACACACACACACACACACACACACACACACACACACACACATACACACGACTTTATTTGAATTTTGGCCAAAACAAGGAGAAATTCTCTGTCTCTGCCTATCCTACAACAATGATGCAACTCACAGAAAATATTTAATCAAAGCAAGGAAATGCATAGAGGGAGATTTTGCTGTGTGCCTCTGTTACCCAAAGTTGGAGATAAGTCTTTTTCCGGGAGCCAGAGTTCAGGTCTTTGGGGTCAGGCCACTTTCACTCCCATTGTTCCTGTCCAGGTTGCCAGTGGCTGGGATTTGATCCAGGTGTTTCCAGGTTCTTGGTATTTTATTCTAGAATGGAATAAAGGTACACACAGGTTGCAAAGTAGCAAGGATACTTTATTCATCCGGAAGTTTTACTGGATGGAGCCCTGGAGAAGGGATGAACTGGTCAGTGTAGTTCCCATTCAGAAGGTGTCCACGTACCTCTCAGTTTTAGTTATGACTCCCAGGAAGAGGCCCTCATTTAGGGTAAGAGTGGTAAGGGGAAAACCAGGCCTCTCATTACATTTGACCAGGACAGAAGCAAAGACGTTTTGCCTCAAACATTTCAGACATCTCTGGCATCAGGCAAGAACATCTTAGCTGTTAGCCAAGGGGGAAAAACCTGTTCACGTTTGGGGTCTTCTGCCCTAAACTACTAGCCAGTTTCTGTCTCCTATTCATCACTATGGAGTGGCCACTACTAGGTGGCTAGCAGGTTGCTGGGTATGTTGTTCGGGAAGGTTATGATAGAGCCCAAGCCAAATGGAGTCCCCGTCCACTAAGATACTCTTTATGCTTGATTGCTTCGCCACCATCATACTTCCTGTTGGGAACTTCACTCTCTAGAAACATATCCCAAGTCCTAGGGCCTCGTGGTGTTATTTCCACGAGAGCCCAACTACAGATCTGTGGGACAGAGCTGAGAGTACAGCAGTACATCTCCACTATAAAAGAGGATCAATTAGTATTTCACTGGGGTACCATGACAACTTTATAGGAAAAAAAATACCATCTTCAATGACTGGTGCTGAGACAAGCAGCTACTTGCCTACAAGAGAGGAAAGATGGACCTCTGCCTGAGAACATGTGCAGAAATGAGCTCAAAGTGAGTCACAGAAGCCGAGTGGAAGAACCAAAATGTAAAAGTCTTAAATGAGATTGTGGGAGTGAATCTTCACGGTCTTAAGTTAGGCAGCGTCCTTCAGAACTAACAACAAAAGCCCAAGAACAGAAGGAGCAAATCTGATGTCTGTGTGTATGAGGAAAATTCCAAGAGAAAAAGTAATCCATACTAAGAGAATACCATTCGCAAATCACACCTCTGAGAAGCGCTTGTTCCCCATTGGTGAAGCGCTTTCTTGGCTCAATAGGAAGAAGAAAATGAGGTGATTTTTTAAATTATTATGTTATTTTATAATTAATTTAATTTTACATATCAGCCATTGATTCCCCTGTCCTCCCTCCTCCCACCCCCTCCACCTTCCCCCCATCTACCCCCCATTCCCACCTCTTCCAAGGCAAGGTCTCCCCTGGGGATTCAGCTCAGCCTGGTAGATTCAGTCAAGGAAGGTCCAGTCCCCTCCTCCCTATACCAAAGCTGAGCAAAGTGTCTCAGCATAGGCCCTAGGTTCCAAGAAGCCAACTCATGCACTAAGGACAGGTCCCAGTCCCACTGCCTGGGGGCCTCCTAAACAGTTCAAGCTAATCAACTGTTTCACTTGTCCAGAGGGCCTGGTCCAGTTCCATGGGGGGGATCCTCAGCTATTGGTTCACAGTTCATGTGTTTCCACTAGTTTGACTATTTGTCCCTGTACTTTATCCAATCTTGGTCTCAATATCTCTTGCTCATAGCCGTTAAAAATTCAGGTCACTGGGTTTTGTCGTCCCGTTTCTGGGCTAAGACCGTCACCTGTGTTTGTTTTGCTCCTTTCATTAAAAACATCATGACCGGACTGCTACATGGCAGGATTTTATTCATCCCTCTTCTCCATAAATGAGTGGCTTTCTGTCTCAGTGGTCCTAATTAAGGGTGCAAATGCCTTGGCTTCATGCAAGCTCTGTTACATTGCAACACTGTGGAACGTAGGGGTGGGGCAGTGTGCCTGGTAATTCCTAATTTGGAGTGAAATTTGATATCCATTAGCCTGTGGATAAATGTGACATGTGATAGGGATTCTGAATTATTTCTTCTTGATTTTCACCATCAAATTCAGTTTCCTGCATCAGTTCTGTGAAGGTCTGCAGAACAGAGAAGATGATGTGCGTTCCTGTTTGCTCCCAGCCCTGCACTCTGAACAGCGTTCACATGGGTCTGGTTCCAGATTTAGTCATGTTGGTTTTCATTTTCTCAGCACAGGTGCAGCAGTGAACAGCAGTGAGAGTCTCCCTCCATCCTCGTCTGTCAACGACATCTCCTCCATGTCCACCGACCAGACCCTTGCATCCGACACTGACAGCAGCCTGGAAGCCTCGGCAGGACCCCTGGGTTGTTGCAGGTGACTAGCCGCCTGCCTGCGAAACCCAGCGTTCTTCAGGAGATGAAGTGATAGAACACAGCACACATGCACATTGCACACACACACACAGTTTGCACACACATATGCATACACAAAGACACTCTCACACATGCACAAAAACATACACGCGATGTCAAGAAAATAGCAAGAAGAGAGATCCAACCTAAAATTAAGATAAATCTTTCTGCCTGCTTCTCCAAAGTTCTGTATTACAGCTAAGCCGAAATGTATACTTCTAGTTGCTCTTGCTTTGGTCTCCTTCAACAGTGCTTACTACACAAAATAAACCAGGCACAAATTAGAGAAGCCTTTTCCCCAAAGTGTAATTTAAATGGCTGCGAAACCAGCAACCCGTTAGTGCCCTTCAAATGGCATGACAAGGTGTGCAGTGGCCCCATCCAGCATGTGTGTGTCTCTATCTTGCATCTACCTGCTCCTCTTGGCCTAGTCAGATGGATGTAGATACAGATCCGCATGTGTCTGTATTCACACAGCACTACGTAGAGATGCTCCTGTCAGTGTCCTCAGGGCTCTTCCAAGACACCATGCACTGGGGTACCACATGGTCCATTTCATGTGATCTATTACTCTGACATAAATCCATCTGTAATATATTGCCAGTATATAAGCTGTTTAGTTTGTTAATTGATTAAGCTGTATGTCTGATAAGAAAATATGTAAAGGGGGAATATGGGGGAGTGAACTCTCAGACCCTTGAAGATGTAGCTTCCAAATCTGAACCGATTAAATGGCACCTGTATACCAATTTGTAGAAAGAACATATGTGACGCTTACGTACAGTGTGGGGGGAGGGAGGGAGCAATAGCTTTCAGGATTTAAATAGCTTGGTCTTTAGAAGGACTATGTGAGTAAGGTCAAGGGTGCTTTCTCTGGCAATGGATATGTAGCAGGGACTAGAGCACAGTGTAGACTGTGCTCTGTTTTGCTGCAGTATAGACTATGGACGAAAGGAAATTGCTGCCTGGATACTGGGAGACACCAACATCCATGTTTTAAAGAATGGACACCATTTGTCTTTTTAAAATGTGTCAAAATATGTCTTTTGAATGATGTGTCAAGAGAGAAAGCTGCTGGAGAAAGGGGAAGGTGACGAGGCCTCACCGTTGTCCACACATCCATGGTAAAAGCCCTTGCCTGAAACACGCTGGAATCACCTCCATGTGATCTCCTTCAGAGAAGATAGCTCTGCCTAGACAAATTTGAGATTGTAGGGCATGTTTTCCACGTGTGGGATGCTTCCCAGAGTCATCACCTGCCAATATTTTCATTTCCTCTTCTGGAATAGAATAGAATAAAATGGAATCCCCAAAGCACAGAGAAATCTTCAGGACAGCATCTATAAGCATCTTCATGGATATTATTGTCCCTCAGAGGAGTTGTCCCTCAGGGGGGTTTCCCTGACTCCTTGATACGACTGATGTTTCATACTTACTGATTTATTTTCGTAGATGTGTGTAATCTGAGAAGGGCTGATAGTCTGACTTTTGTATTGCAGTAGATATATGAGAGCAATAACGCCGTGCCAACACAGCTCCTACTAGCTAGCACTAGCAATGACTTTGTCTTAAAGCCATGAAACGTTAGTGTGTTTAGAAAAATCACCTGAATTTAGCTTAGATCCACAGAAGACCCTGTCCGAGCACTCACGGAGGCACTGTGAACCATCTTGGTTATGTACAAGGCAATGCCGGTGCGGCTTCTGAGCAATAACAGGCACCAGGCCCCGCTTCCCTTCTTCCTTCCCAGGGTGAAGCATCCACCACAGCTATTTGCACTCTGGCCATTTTGGTGCTCACCCCTGTGGTGATATTTCACCTGAAGAAGAAGTGAAACACATGAGTGGATGAACGTGATCGGCCTGGCCAAGGGAAAACCCTCAAGTGTTCAGAGTAAACAGCAATGCCAGAGTTCTGCAAACTGCCTTAAAAACAACACCAGGGCAGCTCTTCTCTTTTCAAGCAATAGAGTCGTTAGTAACCTCAGCGGCCCAGCCCCTCCCTCCCTGCCACACACTGCAGTGAGGCTGATCCTGGAATGGCTTCCCACTGCGTGGTTCTTTGCAAGCTGTGGTACTGAAAAGGGAGAGGAGGGGGAGGGGGAGGGAGGGAGCTCTCCTCTATCCTTCTCCTCTCTTGATCTTCTCCTGTCAAGATCTCCTATCTTGAGATCTCCTCTGCAGCTCATCCCCTGGAATAAAGGTATCTCAGTCTTTCCTTTTCCCATTCTTTTTGGTTAATACTGCAAGCAAACCGATCTCTATAAATACTGACTCATTCTCACAAGTTCTCTCATTTTTCTTTCTGTCATCTTTTTTTTTCCTTTTAAAAACGTACCCATCTCCCTACTCTTCTCCTCTTTCTCTGTACTCTGCTTTTGTGTCTGTGATCTCTGTACCCCTCCATTCTGTATCAGACCAGATTAATGCAAAGAACAGACAATGGTTCAATGGCTTGAAAAAAACAAGTATTGAAGGGGATTCCATTAGGCACAAGATGGCAATAACAGACAGGCAGGGTTCTCAGCAGAACAGCAGGAGAGCTGACCGGTTTCCCAGGTAGAGGAAGCAGACGACACAGATCACCTTCCCACCTCTGCAGGTTGGCCTGGAGGTGCTACTAGTCTGTCTCCTGGTGTATAGCATTGCCCTGCTGGGGACCCTTGGCCAGAGATTCCCCTGTGGACAAGAAAATAGGAAAGAAAACACTTGGGTTTTAAATAGCACATCCACGTAGAGATGAGGGCTTGGCTTCTGGACTTCATGAAGGATTGGTTTTAGCTGATCAAAGAGGATAGATGGCAGGTAACTAACAACAAAGAGAATCACCATGGTGAAAGTTTCCCCTTCACAGCCAGGACCCCCTTTGGGTCTCTCCTTTGGTGGTGGTTATACTCTGAGAAAGTCTGCAGTGTACAATGAGCCCTCTCCTGGGTCTTCTTAGTAAAAACAAACAAACAAACATGTAAGCGGAAAAACCAAACATTTATTTTACGTGGCCACCTGTTACTACCAAGGGTGTTCTTACTTTGGGAGCAGGGAACTGTTCTGAGACCTGGACTGTGTTTGTGGAAGAATTGAAGGAGCTACATGTGTTCATATTGCAACATAAAGTGAGCATTCTTAGGACTAGAACATCTGTACTTTTATAGGCAACTGGTTACGCAGTGGTCCTTACTACGTTCCCTGGTGTTCTGTAGAAAGGGCAGGTGTGGACCCCTGAGCAGGAAGAATTAAATTGCTACCATGTTACCTATTTCTTTGCTACTTTAGGGTGTGTTTGGTGGGTCAGTGTACTCATTTTTCCAATGGGATACCTTGGCCTTATAGCACAATTGTTTCTTGTTCAATAAAGACTGAAAATAGTACGTCATCCTTCAGAATCTAATGTAGAGCTTCATGGGTCTGGGTCCCACAGCTGGACCAGGACTTGGCGAAGTCCTAGCAGTTGGAGGAAACTTATTTAATTGATGGCTCAGGGGTAGTGTGGCTTCTCTCAGTCCACTATCCCTTTCAGAACAAGTGTTGTGTAAAGATCCTGCTAACAAAAGACCAGCAAATGAAAAACTTGGTCATGGAACACAGAGCAAATGGAAGGCATGAAATGCATAAGTCCTTCCATCATCTGTCAGGGAAAAATTAATAAATCTAATTTTACAGCTCTTAACATTTGTTGTAGAGCCCGGGTTATACAGAATCCATTTTTCGTAGCAAGAAAGAATCTATGTCTGAGAGGCATCAGCTGGCTTTGCTAAAAGAGTTAACCTCCATGGTTCAGAGAGAGGAGAGAAGACTTCTTGGGGAACTTTGATCCCAATTCCTTGGGTCTAAAGAGAAATCCCTCCCACCACTGTAGCACGCCTACCCTCATAGACGCATACACCACATTTTAATACCAAGAGGCCGACTTTTCTACACGTATTGTTAGATAAGGCAGTCTATTTGAAAAGAAAACAAAACAACTAAACAAACTAAAAATTTATAATGTAAATAACCAAGTCAGTTATTTTCCTTGTGATTAAAATATAAATTTTATTTCTTTGGTCACCCAAACATGTCTTGTTAGTTCACTTTGACTCATTTCTTTGGTCAAAGCAAAGTTGAAGACATTTTTTAATATGTGAACCCCTATTTATTTAATTCTTGATCATGTGGGACCAATGGCCAGTATATCCCAGTAGAAACAAATATCCCAGCCCTTATCTGCCATTACCTGTCCATCTTGCCATGTCCATCTTGTAGTGACACCTCCCCGGCATCTGCTTGTTATTTTGCATGATTGGACTCCAAGATCCATAACTGATAAAGAGAATTGTCCCATATCAGTGTTTATGAAGTGTATCTACAGCACACATGTACACACACATGTTCACATAGGCCCATATACATGTTCACATATGCCCATATAGTTCTCTATCAATCTGGAAGCCAAAATCACATATGTCCAGTTTCTTTGCCAAGTCTCAGAGGTGAGACCTATTGTCAGTAGCCTGGCAGGTTTGATGTGCTCTCGGTGGTATCTAATATGGATCAAAATGATTCAGTCCATTCCTATGATCTTTCTCGTGTTCTTTCGTTTCCATTTTTTCCCTCTTATTTTAAATATGTCTGTGGAAAAGAGCACAATTTGGGGAACTCTGACATCTTTTGACTCTTCACAGGTGGAATCAAGTCAACATATTGTGATTTGTATGTCTTATGAATTATTAAACCTGGAGGAAGTATGCTTCGCTTCTCATAAAACCAAATGAAACCTGGACTCTGTCAGACTTTCCTTTTGGCAATGTTTATTGTTTGTGCTGCTTTGGTTCCATGCACTGCCAGAGCCATAAAGGGCTTCATGACTTCCTTCTGACCCCGGTGAACGAGACTTGCAGTGTGGCCAGATTGTACCAGAGAGTAAATAAGAGGGAAGAGATGGCCTCCTTCTCAGCCTAGACCCGGGTCTCCCTGTGGAGTGGTGTGTTTGTGCTTGAGATTCATTTCTTCAAGAAAGGCCTCCGTTTCCATCTGCAGATACGAGTTTCATGCCTACATTTCAGTAGTAACCAATAAGATAATAATGGACAAACCTCATTGGTAAGAAGATCAGGACTACATGTTTTTTTTCAGATTAATCAACAAAATTCCCAATTTTAATTTTGTCTGAGAGATTTATTTTGTCAACACTATTATCTCAGACTGCTTGTTGAATTTAAGAATATGAATTACAGCTTGGTGGAGTTCACCGAACTTGTCATGGTTCACCTGGCAGTGCCTGAACAATGTTGAAGAGTGGCCTGTATATTTCTGGGAACAATACATTTTATTTATTCAGTTAATAGAAGGCTGAAAGGTAGACATTCCCATTATTACACTTTGTCTCTTATTTAAGGAAAATAGACGTGAAACGCAGTTTGCTACCTCTGCAATGACCCTTATTCTAATGATTTTCTAATTATTTTAATTTATTCTTTTTCCTTCGTTTATTTGAGGGGGTGATATATGGAGGTCTCTTACTAAGTAGGCCAGATGGTCTTGGTACTGTCAATCCCCCTGCCTCAGATTCCAAGCTTGTACAAGAATGCCTGGCTGCCTATCCTGACTTCAACCACAACTCTTTACTTTCCCTTTTTAAAAAAATTTAAAATGACCGAGCATAAATATCTAAAAATATCCATAAGAGTAAAAAGAACAAATTCATTCTTCATGATGGTTGGCCAAAGAGGGCAAATCATTTGTACATTGTAGGCACCATAAAACATTACCAT